CAGGGCCGTTGGTCCCATGCGGATCTGAGACACAACATCAATTGGTTGGAGCTCAGAGCCATGCATCTGGCTCTCCGCCACTTCTGCAACGAGATTGCGGGGCAGCACGTGCTAGTCCTTACGGACAATGTGGCGGCAAAGGCCCACGTGAACCAGCAAGAGGGTACCCGGTCCAGGTCCCTCATGGCCGAGGCCCAGTTACTGGGCTCCTGGGCAGAAAGAAACTTTTCCTCCCTCAGGGCCGAACACATCTCGGGGGAGGCGAACCGGCAAGAGGATTTTCTCAGCAAGTCAACCGTGGATCCCTCGAAATGGCACCTGCACCCGGATCTCTTCGCAGAGATAACACAATGATTTGGGCAACCGGTCCTCGATTTGTTCGCTTCTCCAGCGAACGCCCAGGTCCTGAGGTTCTTCTCCCGGTTTCCATCCCCAAGGGCAGAGGGAGCAGATGCCCTTCGAGTCCCATGGCCGGGGGGATCTACTCTACGCATTTCCCCCTCTTCCTCTGATCCCGGCGGCCATTCGGAAGCTGCTGCAGGAACAAGCAGAGGTGATCTTCGTGGCCCCATACTGGCCTCAGAGACCCTGGTTCGCCGACCTCGTGAACCTCTCCTGCTCTCCCCCATGGAAAATCCCACTGGATCGCGTGTCTCTCCACCAGGGGGTTCTACAACACCCGGAACCCCAGTGGCTACAGTTAGCCGACTGGCACTTGAGCGCCGGATCATGACCCAGGAGTTGTTCTTGGCTAGAGCGATTTCCATGATTCAGGCATCTCGCCGGCCGGCGACCAATCGCATCTATGACTCCACATGGAGGAATTTTTGCCATTGGTGCGAAAGGCGGCAACTGGATATCTCGGACTTAACAATTCCACAGATCTTAGAATACTTCCTAGACAGCCTTGATAGAGGCGTAGCCCCTAATACCATCCATAGGCAGGTTGCGGCCCTATCGACCTTGCTTACCTGTGCTAATTCGGTCCCTCCAAGGATACGCGCCTTTCTCAAGGGCGCCACCAACAGTAAGCCACCCGTGGTACACAGGTATCCCTCTTGGGAATTACCTCGGGTCTTACGGGCCCTCATCAGACCGCCGTTTGAGCCTCTCACAACTTGTGCTCTGCGGTCCTTGTCCCACAAGGTCACCTTCCTGGTTGCTATCATGACAGCCAGGCGCATCTCTGAACTGGTGACGCTGTTGGTCAGGGATGACCTCTGTATCTTCCACCGGGACCGGGTGGTCCTTCGATTGGATCCCACATTTGTGCCCAAGGTCAACTCTCTTTTTCATAGGGCCCAGGAAATTGTTTTGCCAAACTTTTGTCCTAATCCTTCCCATGACTTGGAGCAGCAGTGGCACACACTGGACATCTGCAGGGCTCTATGTCGATACATCAAGCGAACGGCGTCCTTTCGCAAGTCCGAGGCCCTCTTTGTTTCCTTCCATTCTTCCTCTCTGGGCCAGAGGGTGTCTGTCTCCACTATAGGCAGGTGGATCAGGGCTTGCATTGCGGAGGCATACCAATCCCTTTCCCTGCCAGCTCCAAGTTGTATCACGGCTCATTCCACTTGCAGCACTGCGACCTCTGCAGCATGGGCCACTCAGGCGTCCATCGAGGAGATTTGCAGGGCTGCGACATGGTCTTCGCCCTTCCCATTTGTTCATCATTATAAAATAGTCCATTTTGCTTCCACGGACGCCTCCTTTGGTCGGAGGGTCCTTCAACAAATGGTGTCTGGGGAGGTGGACCCAGCCTTATCTGCTTCCCTCCCATTGGGACAGTGAGGCTTTGGTATGTCCCATTGGTGGATTCTCCATCTCCTGTGCTGGAAAAGGGGGGTTGTCTTACCTGAACGCCTTTTCTCAGCACGGAGATGGAGAATCCACTCCCACCCTTAGGTCCACACGGTCAGGGTTAGGGCTATGAGAGCTAACACCTCTTCAGCTGCTTTCGCCCTCGTCAAGACTGGGTCCTAGCCCAGCAAGGGGCGTGGCAAGTTTGACTGACTTGGTTTTTAGGGCAGGAAAACAGAGCAAACCCATTGGTGGATTCTCCATCTCTGTGCTGAGAAAAGGCGTTCAGGTAAAACAACGCCCCTTCCCTCACTGTTTCCAGGATGGCTTCGCGGGCCGCATCCGGTCCCCGGGCCTTGTGTTTGACATGTCTGTTCTATAGCATTAATTTCCCATGTTTTTATCTCCTTTAAAATTAGGGAAATTGACTAACTGCACATTAACTGCTCATTGTATGAACATATACTGTATATAGGTTTCATAGAATTGTTGAATATTCATATAACTCCTAGAAAATAAGCAACAATAAATGTCAGAATAGAGTAGAAATAAGCAAACCACATTGTGGCTTAGCATTACAATGGACTTATACTATTACCTAAACGGTAGCTCTTTCTAAACATATTTTTAATATAGATATACAGTAGATAACTCATAAAATAAAATTTCCTGGTTACAAGCTTTGTAAAAGTAAAGATCTGTGTGGCATCCCTGGGTTATTAAATTAAATGTAGTAATAAATAGTATTTGAGAGGAAATTAGTATTTCAAACTGAAGATAATATTCTAAAGGTGTGATTTCCTTTATAGTGCATTATTGTTAAGCACATTTTTATTGATGTAAGGGAAAGGTGCTGACCTTATTAACATTAAAAGGATGACCTTTGAAAAGGTGGAATATGAATGAACCCTTTGTGCACAGCTCATAAAGGGACTGAGTTAGCATTTAAAAGAAGACAGCTATCAAGATAGTAAAAGGCAAAACTGTATATACTCAACCAGACATTGAAAATCACTTGATGGAGGCTTTTTTCCAGGCTGTACTACATATTCTATTTAGCAGCAATACTGATTAGTGAAGGCAAATTGCTTCTCAGATTTTCATGTTTATGGACATATAATTCTCTCTCTCTCTCTCTCTCTCTCTCTCTCTCTCTCTCTCTCTCTCTCTCTCTCTCTCTCTCTCTCACGCTGTCTACCTACCTACCTCTCTACCTTTTGGTTTCAGAGCTAGTTTAGTGAAATGGTTAAAGCATTAGGCTAGAGATCATGAGATCATGGATTCCAGTCCTGCCTTAGGCACAAAGCCAGCTAAATAGCCCTGGGAGAGTCACTTTTTCTAGGAAGGAAGCAATGGCAAACCACTTCTGAAAAAAACCTTGCCAGGAAAACTGCAGGGATTTGTCCAGGCAGTCTCGAAGAACTGGAAACAATTGAATGGGAAAAAACCCACCTTGGTTTTGTTTCTTATTAATTTTGCTTTTGATTATTTATTTTCCATTTTAATGATGTTTTTGTTTTCTTCTTATTATACTGTCAAGCTTAATGCATATGTAATGTTTTGCTCATTACTATCTAAGAACACTGTGTGAGCCAATATTTTATTTATTTACTTTAATTCTTCTGCTTCTAAATGCCATAGGCTTGAAGTAGCTTACAGAATGTCACAGGAAAGATTGAAATAAAAATAAAATAAAAACAACCATAGACATAAACTTTCCACAAACTATGATTATACCATCCAGTGGGGATAAGCTAAACATCTTCTGAAAGCTCTAAATTTTTGCCTAGTAAGACACAGGATTATGGCTCCTCTCTTGTTTAAAAAAGTCTAGAACAAGCACTGGGGGGGTCTACTAAACTGGTCTGTACTAAGGTTGCAGTTTGAGAATGTAGAGGGACTTCAACCTAGGCTATGTTTGCAACACAGATCATGGCCACTATTTATGTTGCTCCCCAGGGACATATATATTTAGAAAAATGGGAGAATGGGTGTTAGAGTGGGGGCCAAAGTGTCAAACTAATCTCTATCATTGGAACTGAGTTCCTTGCACTTACCTAAAAGTAAAAGCTTAATTTTAAAATAGTAAAATAAAAGCCATAATATCACCTGCTTTTTTGATGCAACATATAGGTTAGCCTTAACATTAGCAAATAAACTCCCGAAATAAAATAGTTTGAGTGCATATTACAGTGCAACTGTTATTTGATATTTTAAAGTGATTTAAGTGAATAATGTCATAATTATTTTCAAAAATTGCTCATTTATAAAACTGAGTGATGACAGTATCTTAAAAAATTATGATCTGCTTGTGGGCTACCATGTGTAAGAGACTGAGAGTCCTTTGGATATTTATTCCTAAAAATTGATCGTTAATTGATTAGTCAAGAGTTTTTAGACATAGTGGTGCCTCAGTACTCATCATTATTTGGCTTTGGGAAATAATGATGAGTACCAGAATTTTTTATCCCATAAGGAATAATGTAGTGAGTCACAATCCAGCTGACACGGACAAGTTCTAGCTTGTGCTTCAAGTACCAAACAAAGGATGAGTACTGGGACGAAAATTTCACATCAAAATACATTGAGTACCAAATTTGATGAGTTTCAAAGCAGTTATGTACCAAGGTATCACTGTAATTGGTAAAAATGCTATATATGAAATTATTACATCCACAAAAACTATGCAAGATGCTTATACTTCAGGAAGCTCTTATGAACAGGTCAAACATATGTGTTTTGGAATAATTTTGAGAAGAAAATGTACCTAAAAAGAATTTAAACAAAAATAGGGTGATAAGAGGAATTTAGAAATAAAGAAGAGAAACACTAATAGTATCACAAACTCTTTCTAACTCAGAAACACCATTCTCTGCTTTCATTTTTTATTTTTTTGTTTGAAAGAAGAATTTATTAAAGAAAAAGAATAATACAACTGTGAATAAATAAGGGTGTTTTGGTTGTGAAGATGCTAGGCTTTAGAATTTGAAAATAAGTACAATCACTAATCTCGTTAAATTATTGTAATGAGCCAGAACCAGGCTAGTAACAAATAAGTTATCAGTCAGTTATAAATTACTACTACTACTACTACTACTACTACTACTACTACTACTACTACTACTACTACTATTATTATTATTATTATTATTATTATTATTATTATTATTATTATTATTATTATTATTATTTTGTTCCAGACACTACCCAAAGCAGTCCTTTACTACAGTGGCAGATACACCTGAAAATATTCGACTAAAACAGCAAAGTGAATTACAAAGTCAGGTAATCTTTGCATTATTTTTTGTACATTAAGACTAATCAAGGATAATTTTTAAAATGATCCCTGATTACTTATTTAATTAATAATTAAATGATTACTGATTATTAATTTCCATTGGCATGAAGCGTTATTTGAAAATGATGGTTCTTTTTTAAAAAAATCTCAAATACAAGCTTTCTTTGTTCCTATTTTCTTATCTTAACATGTTCCCTAACAACTCAAAGATATGATCACCTCTATATTTTGTTTGTTATATTTTGTTTATTATTTATTAATAAGAATACTTATTGAATTCCTGGTTCTCATTACTGATTGCAAATAGAACTCCCTTGACCAAGACTTAACAATTTAAATCAGCTGATAGCTAATTCCAAGAAACATTAATCTTCCTGATCAGTAAGGCTAATAACATCTTGAATTGCTGAAATTACCATTTTTTTGTTTCCATGTGTTAACTAAAGCTATTGGATCAAAGAAAAAAGAAATCTTCGATAACTTTTCTAAATATTTAATTTTCTTCTCAGATGTTCTAGCTCAGTGATGGCGAACCTTTTAGAGACTGAGTGCCCAAACTGCAACCCAAAACCCACTTATGCATCGTCGAGTGCCGGATGGGTGTGGCCCATTGGCTGAGTGTGGCCCATTGGGTGGGCGTGGCTGCAGTGGTAACGGCAGACTGGGTAGGACTAAAAAGTTCAATCAATCAATTCCAACTTTGCAAGATCTTTTTTTTTCTCACAAGAAGTTGAAATTGACTGATTGAACTTTTTTTTTTTTTTGCACACGGTAGCGGAGGCCTAAAGCAAAAAGGTTTTATAAAACCCAGCTGAAGACCTAGGACTGGGGCGACAGCGCACGTGCCCACAGAGAGGGCTCTGAGTGCCACTTCTGGCACCCGTGCCATAGGTTCGCCACCACTGTTCTAGCTAATTGTGGGGATACTACACCATTCCAATCACTCATCAAACACAATTTTCATATGAAAGGTTTAGAATCCCATAAATTATGGGAGACAATAACATATCCTTCAGATGCCCCAAAATATTTTTTCTTTCTTTCTTGTGGATTGCAAAACGTTGACCTTTTCATATATTGTTTGAAAAAAAATGGTTCAACAATCGTTAGCTATGTTGATGATTGCATAGTTTATATATTTAATGTATATTACATTTGAATAGGTGGCCAAAATAATAATTTGCCACAGCTTATTTACACAATCAATTTAATAGATTGCAAGAATTGTGTCAACTGGTTACTCTGTTATTTACAAGTTATTTTAAAATTTACTGTTATCTTGATATTAGTTATTCTACCAAATTTGTATGACTACCAGTTTTGATAATCATTTCCTTCTTCTCTCCATCCATGTAATGAATGAAATTACTAAAGAGAGGAAGAATAGCTATATAATTCCCCCCCTACTTTATTCTATTAAGTTGTATGAGTATATACAGGCATTCACACAATATAGAATAAAGTAAGGTAAATGATTAAATGGTCAGCCTGGTTACATATATTCACTAAATGCAACAAGAGAAGTTTGGACGAATATGTGAGTCAAATTTGCTTTGTTCTTTTTCTTATTCATAGTGTATTTTTTTTTAAAAAAAAATAGCTTATACTAAATAATCTTTTGCTCCTGTAAAAATACAAAGTATACATTTGTTTATTCAAAATCAAAGCTGAATGATTTTTTTGGTTTTTTAATCAATGTTTAATTTCCCCTTCTTTAGAAGGTTTTTTTTATATTTTGCAAAATTTCAGACAACTACTTAATAGCATAGAAAGGATATAGAAAGCTCCAACTCTTTGTTGCTGTATATTGATCATCTGGGTTTTTGCAGTCCAGATAGAGTAGTCATAGTGTATTATGAAATTGATGCTTTCATGCACTTCTGATTTAGCATTTAGGTTTCAGGGTTGTAAATGATAAGTCACTCGTCCACTGAGAGTCAGATGATTAATGAAAAGACCACAGCATTTAATCCACACATTCACTGGTGTGAAAATATTCAGGTGTTATGTGAAATCCTGATATGAAAATAGAAATTTGAAAACAGTGAAGTGTGAATCAAGGTGGTGTTTTTGACATCAAAAACTCTAAAGTGACAAAATATATAAAAGGGTAGGAAAGATGATATAATTGAACTGGAAAAATAAGAAAATTCACTATTAAAGAAATAGGGATTACTTCTTCTAAATATTATTTCCACATGTTCTATATATTTTATAGAACATATTCATTTTTTTAATTTTGGTACCTGTGTATGATTATAATGACTAGCCACCTTATGAGGTAATCACTTATATGGTTCAGTGAACATATGTGCTTTTCCATATTCACAGCTGTATACGAGAACTCTATATTTAAAAACTTTTGATTGTAGAAATGTAGGCTAGAGTCTAGATTATATTTTAATTCTTATAGATGTATATTATTCAGGACTCTCTCCTGATTATGAACTGGTGGAGATAATACTTACATTTCTCATATTTTCTTCATTCCAAGTGGTGTCCAATCTGTTTATGCATAACCTAGTTGACATCTAGGTTTGAATATGGACAATATTATAAATTACCATTTTGCCCAAGCTATTTCAGATAGCAATTGTTACAATATAGTAGTACCTACTACATCCTGTAATTAAAAATCTGGTAATTTATTTTAAGCTAAACAGGAGAGAAAGTAATTTTCTATTTGGGTGTATTATAAGGATATTTACAATTAACAATTATTTTAACATTCTAATGTAATAGAAATGTTGGATTTGGGTTTAGGGGGCACCTACACATATTTAATAATAATAATAATAATAATGATGATGATGATGATGATGATGATGATGATGATAATGATGATGATAAAGTTGGAAGGGACCTTGGAGGTCATCTAGTCCAACGCCTTGCTCAGGCAGGAAACCCTATACCATTTCGGACAAATGGTTGTCCAGTTTCTTCTTAAAAACTTCCAGTGTTGGAGCATTCACCACTTCTGGAGGCAAGTCGTTCCATTGGTTAATTGTTCTAACTGTCAGGAAGTTTCTCCTTAGTTCTACGTTGCTTCTCTCTTTGGTTAGTTTCCACCCATTGCTTCTTGTCCTGCCTTCAGGCGCTTTGGAAAATAGCTTGACTCCCTCTTCTTTGTGGCAGCCCCTGAGATATTGGAACACTGCTATCATGTCCCCCTTCGTCCTTCTCTTCGTTAAACTAGATATACCCAATTCCAGCAACCGTTCCTTATATGTTTTAGCCTTCAATCCCCTAATCATCTTTGTTGCTCTTCTCTGTACTCTTTCTAGAGTCTCAATATCTTTTTTACATTGCGGTGACCAAAACTGGATGCAGTATTCCAAGTGTGGCCTTACCAAGCATTGTAAAGTGGTATTAATACTTCACATGATCTTGATTCTATCCCTTTGTTAATGCAGCCTAGCACTGTGTTGTCCTTTTTGGCAGCTGCAGCACATTGCTGGCTCCTATTTAGGTGATTGTCCACTAGGACTCCGAGGTCCCTCTCACAGTTACTACTATTGAGCAAGGTACCACCTATACTATACATGTGTATTTGGTTTTTCTTGCCTAAATGTAGAATCTTGCTTTTTTCACCATTGAATTTCATTTTGTTAGATAGCGCCCAGTGTTCAAGTCTATCCAGATCCTCCTGTATCCTAAGCCTGTCTTCTGGAGTGTTGGCTATTCCTGCCAGCTTGGCGTCGTCTGCAAATTTGATGAGTTCCCCATCTATCCCCTGGTCCAAATCATTGATGAAGATGTTGAAGAGCACTGGGCCCAGAACAGAGCCCTGGGGCACCCCAATACACACTTCCCTCCATGTAGATGCGGTTCCATTGAGGACCACACACTGAGTATGGCCGGTCAGCCAGCTATGGATCCAACTGGTGGTGATGCTGTCTACCCCACATTTTTCTTTCTTGTCAAGTAGTAGGTTGTGATCTACTTTATCAAATGCCTTACTGAAGTCCAAGTAAATGATGTCCACAGCATTCCTCTGATCCACTAATTTTGTCACTTGGTCAAAGAATGCAATAAGATTTGTCTGGCATGATCTGTTTTTGACAAACCCATGTTGGCTTTTAATAATGACTTTGTTTGCCTGTAGGTGTTCGCTGATTCGTTGTTTGATTATCTTTTCCAGGATCTTCCCAGGTATTGAGGTCAGGCTGATAGGTCTGGAATTTCCTGGGTCCATTTTTTTCCTTTTTTGAGGATGGGAACTACATCAGCTCTTTTCCAGTCCTCTGGTAGTTCCCCTGTGCTCCAGGATCTTTGAAAAATATAGTTTAGTGATTCTGAGATCACATCTGCCAGTTCCTTGAGAATCTTGGGGTGTAATCCATCTGGTCCTGGCAATTTGAACTCGTCTAGGCTGGACAGGTGTTCACTTACCATTTTCTTGCCTATCTTAACTTGCATTTCTATTCTGTTTTTTGTGGCACTATTTTTGATAGGTTGGTCTGTTTTTTCCCTTTGTGTAAAGACAGATGCAAAAAACAAGTTAAATAGTTCTGCTTTCTCCCTATTGCTAGTCACCTTCTTACCACTTTCACCCACTAATGGACCAATTGTTTCCTTCACTTTTTCCTTGTTTTTTACATGTTGAAAGCAGCTTTTTTTTTGTTATTTTTGACTTTGGTTGCAAGCCTTAGTTTATTTTGAGCCTTGGCTTTACTTCATCTTTGCAGGCTTGGGCTATTTGCTGATATTCTGACTTAGTTATGTGCCCCTCTTTCCACTTTCTATACTTGTCCTTTTTATCTTTCAATTTGTCAGAGAGTTCTTTATGCAGCCATGCTGGTTTCTTTTGAGAGCTGTTATTTTTCCTCTTTT